GACGCACAACGTTATCTGATCTCTCTATCAGTAAGCTGTGTCATCCCAGTACCAGTTCAAATCCACTTCTATCATGGCCAATTCTCATGTTCTTATCTCCTAACACAGGGGTGGGCAAACATTTTGGCCCGAGGGCCACATCAGGGAATAGAAATTGTATGGTGGGCCATGAATGCTCACAAAAGCCACAAAGAATGGAAGAAGGGACTGGTCAGCAAAGGAAGATATGTCTTTTTGAGGTAAAAGTTTAACGATAAGGTAAGAATTGCCAAAAGTCGTAAGAACATAAGAATAGCTGTTTTGGGTCAGACCAATGGTCCATCTAGCCCAGTATCCCATCTTCCAACAGTGGCCAGTGCCAAAAGCATGCCTCTTCTCCTTATTGGGGAATCAAACCCCCATCTCCTTCATGACAGGCAGGGATACTCACTACTGATGAGGAAAAGTCAAGCTAAGTTAGACCTTGCATAGGAAACTAAAACAAAGAGTAAAAGGTTCTTTAGCCTTATAAATAAAAAGAATAGAAGGAAAGAGGAGGTGAGGCCACTATGCCTTGAGGATGGGATCTTCTAGGTATGGCCCAAACACTACATGAAAGTAGGGATCTTCTAGGTATGGCCCAAACACTACATGAAACATTTGTCTCAGTTTTAATAAGAATGATGATGATGTAGAACACGGGAACAAAGGAAGGATGGCTAATGGGAATGAATATATAGAAATGGAAATGATCACATCTGATATGGAAGCTAAACTCAGAGCTTAATGTGCTCAAATCAGAGGGAGCGGATAACTTCCCTCTCAGAATACTGAAAGAAGTGGCACATGAAATCGCTAGTCTGGTAGCAAGGATTTTTAATAGATTTATCAAATTGGGGGGGGGTACCCTATGACTGGAGAATAGCAAACATAGTATCTATATTTAGTAAAGGAAGGATTGAAATATGATCTGGGCACCTACAGGCCTGTTAGTCTGACCTCAATAGTATGCAGGACTTTAGAACAAATTTTGAAGGAAAAAATAATTAAAGATATGGAGGTAAATGGGATTAAAATACAACATGGGTTTACCAAAGGTAGATTGTGCCAGACTAACCACATATCTTCCTTTGATAAGGTGCATTAACTCTACTGCATTTCCTGCATCTAGACTTCAGTAAAGCATTTAACAAAGTGCCCTGTGAGAAATTATTAATTAAATTAGAGAAGATGGAGATTAGTACAGGAATTGTAAGGCTGGTAAGGAAACAGCTAAAGGATTGTGCTGAAAGGAGAACTATTGGGTTGGAGGGTGGTTACTAGTGGAGTTCCTGAAGGACTGGTCTTGGGACTGGTCTTATTTAATATTTGAGTTAATGGCCATGGCACAAAAAGTAGGAACGTGTTAATGAAATTTGCTGATGACCCAAAGTTGGAGGGAATCGTCAGGGCAGAGAAGGGTTAGAATATTATGTAGGAAGAATTGGATGATCTAGAGAACTGGAGTATTAGAAATGGGATGAAATTTAATAGCATGAAGTACAAGGCCATGCACTTGGGGACTAATAACAAGAATTTCTGCTATAAATTAGGGGCTCATCAGTCGGAAATGACAGAGAAGAAAGACCTGTGTGTATTAGTCAATCACAAGAACATGAGCCACAAATATGATGCTGCCATGAAAAAGGCAAATGTAATCTTAAGGTATATTAGGCAAGACATTCCCAGTAGAGAGAAAGAGAGAGAAGTATTAATGCCATTGTACATGGCACTGGTGAGATTTCATCTAGAAACACTGACTACAGCTCTGGTCACCCATGTTCAAACGAGACAAATTAAAACTGGAACAGGTGTAGAAAAGGGCTACTAGGACAATCAGGGAAATGAAGGGCCTATTTTAAAAGAGGACACTAAAAGAGCTTAATTTGTTTAGCCCAGGAAAATTAAAGCTGAGAAGGCATATGATTACCTTCCCTTCCAATGTATTTATAGAGAACAAACACCAGGGAGGGAGAAGAGCTATTTAAGCTAAAGGACAATGGTGGCACAAGAACAAATGGGTATAAACTGGCCATGAATAAATTAAGGCTGGAAATTAGAAGAAGGTATCTAACTATCAGAGGGGTGATATTCTGGAACAGCCTCCCAATAGGAGTAGTGAGGGCAACAAACCTAACCAATCTTAAAATGGAGTTTAGTGATTTTATGAACAGGATTATATGACAATGTTGCTTGTGATATCAGAGGACTGGACTCAATGGCCCAAGAGGTCCCTTCCAGGCCTATATTCCTGTGAAAGAAAATTGAAGGACCCTCTGTGTTTAGCTCCAAAAAGCATATGATGGATTGTAGGGGTCAGTTGTTGAGTCTTTGCTGTGGTCATTATGATTTATGGCCTAAATTTTCAAATTCTTGGGTGCCCAACATAAGGCATCTTCAGGGGGAGTCAATTTTCAGAAGCTGGGTGCTCAGCACTTTCTGAAAGTGGGCACCTTTTAAAAGAATCTCAAATTGGACACCTAAAAATGGAGGCACCAAAAATGACTAATCACCTTGGAAAATTTAGGCCTATATGTATAGCGCCAGTTGGGGATCACGGGTAAGTGTTAAAGTAGAAAACCATTTCTACAATAGAGCAAATGTACAATGCAGAATTGGCATTGTAAGTTGTAAGCAACTATATTTTATAGCTAGTGAATATAAACTACCGGTAGCTATAAACTAAAACTTGAAATGTCTGAGGCCTAAACACCTCCATTAAGTCTACCAGATAACCTAAAAGCACTGAAGTAGGGGGCAATATACTTAAACTTCAGACAAGAAAAATTGTATCTGCTCTGCCCCACTATCTACAAGTTTAAATACATAACACCCCCCCCCCCCCAGCCCCGTGGAGTGGCTAGGTCTCTGCACCCTGATCTCAAACGTGGGCAGGCTCACACTCCTAGTTTAAAAAGAAAAAAGGCACTATGTGAATCCAATAGCTGACTTCACAGCCTCCAACAGAGTCAAGAACTCCTCATATATCTTCGGGCATCCATAAAGGTTACAGACCTAACCCCTCTCCACAGGGAGAAAGCAAACCCATAAATCTGACTGCAAGAGGGGTTTTGTTTTTCCTTAGCCCTTAATTGGGCAAAGCACCCATTGACGTCAGTATGTTTTTTGTCTTTTGGCCAAATACACCAAAAATTTTCTAGAATCCCTTTGGGGATTATGTAAATTTACCCCTGATATGCAGTCTGACACTTACATCCTGATTTGCTAAACTTGGCAAAGATCATCCCTCAAACAACTCCTCCAGCCCTGTTGCATCACTCCGGGCTGACATTTAGCCAAAAGGTTGGCAGCTTTCCTGTAGACTTATGCTGCTTTAGCTATCTTTGTAGTATTTAATTTAGTTTTCCAGGTGGTGTATTTTATGACATATTATTATTGATTGCTGCTGTTTGAATGGCCTAAGCAAGGTCCTGAGTTCCTTGGTTGACAAGGAGGTTGTTTTATAATGAAGTTATTTCTAAAGATGTTGGGTACATCAGTTTTATGCCAGCTGATCAGTTGCTAATAATATAAAAGCAGGGGTTCTCACAACAATTTTTTTGGTGGCCTCTGACAATATGTCCTAAAATACTTAATTAACGTTAGGAAAAACAAAAAATATGCACAGGTACATGTCCAAATCATTGTAATTTATCTATGTAGGGTTGTTCTTTTTGCAGATTCAATAAAAATAAAAATGCATCCGAAGAAGTGGGCTGTAGTCCACGAAAGCTTATGCTCTAATAAATTTGTTAGTCTCTAAGGTGCCACAAGTACTCCTGTTCTTCTTTTTGCGGATACAGACTAACATGGCTGCTACTCTGAAACCAATAAAAATAATGTACAGTTGCCTCTCTTCTTTACTGGACCTAAACAGAATAGAAACACAAATGAGGTGCTTTGAACGTTCTTGCCTTTTTTCTTGTTGTTTCTTTTGTTTTTTTTAGACTTGCTAGCTATTTGTAAGTCGGCTGTGTAAAGCGATATTTGTATGTTTGTTAATATCACTTTTCACAGCAGACTTACTCAGCTCCGGCAAGCCCAGGGACAAATTAAGCCCTGGATGGGGAGTTGGGACAGAGGCAGTGGGGGAGGCAGTGTGGACAAGAGGTGATGGGGGTGGGGGTGGGGGCAGTGGCGTAGCCAGGATCTAAGTGCAGGGGGAGCAAACATAAAAAAGGCACCCCCCCTTGGCTCCTCCTCTGGCCACGCCCCCCTTGGCTCCTCCTCCGGCCGCTCCACGCCCGCCCCCTTGGCTGGCTCCTCTGGCTGTGCTGCCCCCCACCCCATTGGCTGCCAGCCACCATGCTGCGCCCCCCCTTGCTCCTCCGGTCATGACTGCCGGCTGTGCTGTGGGCCGCCTTGCTGTGCCCCCGCCCCCTCGCTCTGCCTCCTCCGGTCACGCCCACCGCACCCACATTGGCTACCGGCCGCGCTGCGGGCCGCCCTGCTACGCCCCCCCTCGCTCCTCCAGCCGCGCTGCCCCCTCCCCATGACTCCTCCGGCTGCGGGCCGCGCTGCAGGCCGACTTGCTGCGCCCCCCCTCGCTCCTCTGGCCGCGGCTGCCGGCCATGCTGTGCGGGCCGCCATGCTGTGCCCTCCCCTCGCTCTGCCTCCTCCGGCCGCACCCGCTGCCCCCCCATTGGCTGTGGGCCGCCCTGCTGCGCCCCCCCTCGCTCCTCCAGTCGTGCCGTCCCCTCCCCATGGCTCCTCCGACCGTGCTGCCCCCCCCTTGCCTGCAGGAGATTAGTGCCAGCTGGCAGGTGTGCCACTTTTTGAAAATGTGCTGAGGGGAAGCGGCTGCTTCCCCTGTACCCCACTAGCTATGCTACTGGGGACAGTGTCTCAGCAGAATGCAAGCCTGAAGCGAAAAAGTATTTTTTTTAAACTAAGTAACTATGTAACTATACTAAAGGAAGGGAAACAACTGGGATGTAACTAATAAGTATTTCTGTATTCTTTGTTAATTTTTCCTACAGAGACCAGGGAAGAGGATCAGCACTGCCCTGAGTCCCGTTTTCAGCCGGGGACGGTTTAGAAGGAACTGAGGGGGGTGCGGGACACGGGCACTCAGGAAGATTCCAACGAGATGGGAGATACCAACTGAGCACGTGTGTCCCAACCAGGCACTGCTACCGAAAATCTCCGATCAATGGCACCGGGATGCTCCGACACCTAGAGTGGAACACCCACAGGGACAGCACTCGAAGAAAACAGACTTCTGGGATGGAGGTTAGCACAACTCATTAAAAGAGCTTTAAACTAGGAACTCAGGGGAGATGGGAAATGTTCATGTAATCCACGCCTGATTTTAACATTGAGAAGGAGGTAAATCAAGTAAGAAAGGATACAGCAATGGAGAAAGGAACAGCAGTGGGTAGGAGAATGGAC